CTTATTCATTGTATCTAACTGTATTTTTGTATCCACGAAGGTTCACTCTTGGTGCTGTACATTCTATGGTTTTTGACAAATGTGTAATGACATTTATCCATCATTACAGTATCATAGAGAGAAATTTCACTGCCCTAAACTCTGTGCTTCTCTTTTTTTTTTTTTAAGGTGGAATCTCGCTCTTGTTGCCCAGGCTGGAACGCAGTGGCACAATCTCAGCTCACTGCAACCTCTGCCTCCTAGGTTCAAGCGATTCTCCCGCCTCAGCCTCCGAAGTAGCTGGGATTATAGTCATGTGCCACCACGCCCGGCTAATTTTGTATTTTCAGCAGAGACACGGTTTCTCCATGTTGGCCAGGCTGGTCTTGAACTCCTGACCTCAGGTGATTCGCCTGCCTTGGCCTCCCAAGGTGCTGGGATTACAGGCGTGAGCCACTGCGCCCGGCCCTCTGTGCTCCTTTTATTCATCCCTCACTCCCATGTCCTGAACTCCTGGCAACCTCTGATCTTTTTACTGTTTTTATAGTTTTGCCTGTTTCAGAATGGCCTAAAGTTGGAATCATAAAGCATGTAACCTTTTCAGATTGGCTTCTTTCACTTAGCAACATGCGTTTAAAGTTCTTCCATGTCTTTTTGTGACTTTGATAGCTCATCTTTTTTTTTTCTTTTAAGATGGAGACTTCCTCTGTCGCCCAGGCTGGAGTGCAGTGGTGTGATCTCAGCTCACCGCAACCTCTGGCTCCCAGATTCAAGCAATTCTCCTGCCTCTGCCTCCCGAGTAGCTGGGAATACAGGTGTGGGCCATCACATCTGGCTGATTTTTTTTTTGAGACAGAGTTTCACTCTGTTGCCCAGGCTGGAGTACAATGTCGTGATCTTGGCTCACCTCAACCTCTGCCTCCCGGATTCTCCTGCCTCAGCTTCCTGAGTAGGTGGGATTATAGGCATGTGCCACTATGCCCGGCTAAATTTTGTATTTTTAGTAGAGTCGGCGTTTCACCATGTTGGCCAAGCTGGTCTCGAACTTCTGACCTCAGATCTGCCCGCCTCGGCCTCCCAAAGTGCTGGGATTATAGGCATGAGCCACCACGCTGGGCCCGCACCTGGCTAATTTTTGTATTTTTAGTAGAGACAGGGTTTCACTATGTTGGCTGGGCTGTTCTCAAACTCTTGACCTCATGTGATCCACTTGGCCTCCCAAAGTGCTGGGATTATAGGTGTGAGCCACTGCACCCAGCCAGCTCATCTCTTTATCGCACACAATTTATTGTATTTTCTGTGGCTAGGCATGGTGACCTTTTAAAAAATTTTTGGTTAAAATATACATAAAATTTATCATTTACTCTTTTTTTTTTTTTTTGGAACACAGTCTCACTCCATTGCCCAGGCTGGAGTGCAGTGGTGCAATCACAGCTCACTGCAGCCTCAAATTCCCAGGCTTCTGCCTCAGCCTCTGGAGTAGCTGGGACCACAGGTGTGCGCCACCATATCTGCCTAATTTTTTGTATTTTTTGTAGAGATGGAGGTCTTGCCATGCAGCTCAGGCTGGTCTCAAACTCCTGGGATCAAGCGATTTTCCTGCTGAGATTGCAAGTGTGAGCCATGGTAACCAAGTAGTAACTCTATGTTTAAATTTTAAGGCCCTGTCAAAGCATTCTTCACAGTGGCTGCACCGTTTTACGTTCCCATCAGCAATGCACAAGGGTTACAATTTCTCTAAATCCACACCAACACTTACTAGTTTTTTTTTTTTTTAATAGCCATCTTAATTGGTATGAGGTAGTATCTCATTGTGGTTTTGATTTACACTTCTTTTCTTTTTTTGAGATGGAGTCTCGCTCTGTTGCCCAGAATGAAGTGCAATGGCACAATCTTGGCTCACTGCAACTTCTGCCCCTCTGGTTCAAGTGATTTTCCTGCCTCAGCCTCCTGAATAGCTGGGACTACAGGTGCACACCGCCATGCCAAGCTAATTTTTGTATTTTTAGTAGAGATGGGGCTTCACTACGTTGGCCAGGCTGGTTTCTAACTCCTGACCTTAAGTGATCCGTCTGCCTCAGCCTCCCAAAATGCTGGGATTAAAGTGTAAGCCACCGTGCCCAGCCTGATTTACACTTCCCTAATGATGCTGAACATCTTTTCATATGCTTGTTGATGATAGTGTGTGTGTATATATATACTCTTTTTTTTTTTTTTTTTCCAGGAACAAAGTCTCATTTTTGCCCAGGCTGGAGTGCCGTGGTATGATCACAGCTCATTACAGCCTCCAACTCCTGGGCTCAAGCCATCCTCCCACCTCAGCCTCCCTAGTAACTGGGACTACAGGTAAGCACTGCCATGCCCGGACTGTGTATTTTCTTTTGTAAAAATTTCAAATTAAATTTTTGTGGGTACATAGTAGGTATATATATTTACGAGGTATCTGGGATATCTTGATACAGGGATACAATCAATATATATTCTTTACATAAACGTCTATTCAAGTCCTTTGCCCATTTTTCAATTGAGTTGCTTTTTTGTGGTTTAGTTGTAGGAGATTTTTATATATATTATATAAATATATATATGTATATATTTATGTATGTATTTGAGATGGAGTTTCACTCTTGTTGCCCAGGCTGGAGTGCAATGGCGTGATCATGACTCACTGCACCCTCTGCCCCCGGGTTCAAGTGCTTTTCCTGTCTCAGCCTCCTGAGTAGCAGGGATTACAGGTGCCCGCCACCATGCCTGGCTAATTTTTGTATTTTTAGTAAAGACAGGATTTCACCATGTTGGCCAGGCTGGTCTCAAACTCCTGACCTCAGATGATTCACCCGCCTTGGCCTCCCAAAGTGCTGGAATTACAGGGGTGAGCCATTGTGCCCGGCCAGGAGTTCTTTATATATTCTATATATAAATGCTTTAACAGCTATATGTTTTGCAAATATTTTCTCTCATTCTGTGGGTTGTCTTTTCAGTTTTTGTTGTTGTTGTTGTTGTTGTTTTCTGAGACAGAGTCTCACTCTGTAGCCCAGGCTGGAGTGCAATGGCAGGATCTTGGCTCACTGCAACCCCCGCTTCCTGAGTTCAAGTGATTCTCATGCCTCAGCCTCCTGAGTAGCTGGGATTACAGCCTCGTGAGCACCTGGGATTACAGTCTCCTAAGCAGCTGAGGCTAGCCTAACTATATTCAGCTAGTTTTTGCATATTTGGTAGAGATGAGGTTTCACTATGTTGTCCAGGCTGGTCTCAAACTCCTGACCTCAAGTGATCCAACCGCCTTGGCCTCCCAAAATGCTGGGATTACAGGCGTGAGCCACTGTGCCTGGCCTCCTTTCAATTTCTTGATGGTGTCCTTTGATGAGACCTGGGCCTTTTTCAAATAACCCAAGCACTTCTGGGAAGCTTATCCGCCCCTGGTCTGTGAACGAAGAAATCAAGGCCTTGTGAGAAGTCATGCGTTCTGCCTTTTGAGAATGGGACAGGGGGGATCCCCATCCACCCAACTGGGTTTGGCCCCTGAGACTGGATCCCTTTCTCCTTGTTCCCTTCAATTGTTCAAAAACTTGGGTCAAACAACATGAAAGGAGAGAAGAGAGAGGAGTGAAGGGGGTGCCTATCAATGACTGAAGAGAGCACAGACCTAGACCCGGTCTCAGGACTCAAGCACCAAGGGTTTACTGACACACGCCACAACACACATGAGCCTTGAAAACATTGTGCTAGGTGAAAGAAGCCAGTAACAAAAGACCACTCATTGTGTAATTCCATTTATATGAAATGTTTAGAGAAGGCAAATCCATAGACACAGAAAGTAGATTAGTAGTCGCCAGGGCTGGTGAGGCAGGGGAGGAAGGCTAGGGGGAAATGTAGAGGGACTGCTAATGGGTGCAGGGTTTCTTTTAGGGGTGATGAAAATGTTCTAAAATTAATTGTGGGCCAGGCGCGGTGGCTCACACCTGTAATTCCAGCACTTTGAGAGAGGTCGAGGCGGGAAGATCACTTGTCACCTAGGAGACAGAGGAAGACTCCGTCTCAAAAAAAAAAAAAAAAAGACTGGGCACGGTGGTTCACTCCTGTTAATCCCAGCACTTTGGGAGACTGAGGCGGGTGGATCACGAGGTCAAGAGATGGAGACCATCCTGGCCAACATGGTGAAACCTCATCTCTACTAAAAATACAAAAATTAGCTGGCCATGGTGGCTCCCTGTAGTCCTACATGGAGGACTACATGACTCCCATGTAGTCCCAGCTACTTGGGAGGCTGAGGCAGGAGAATCGCTTGAACATGGGAGGCGGAGGTTGCAGTGAGCCGAGATTGCGCCACTGCACTCCAGCCTGGCAACAGAGTGAGACTCCATCTCAAAAATAATAACAACAATAAAATTAATTCTGGTGATGGTTGCACAATTCTACACTAGAAGTCATTTGACACTTTAAGAATGTGAATTAGGCTGGATGTGGTGGCTCACACCTGTAATCCCAGGACTTTGGGAAGCCAAGGCAGGTGGATAACTTGGGGTCAGGAGTTCGAGACCACCCTGGCCAACATGGTGAAACCCCATCTCTACTAAAACTACAAAAATCAGCCAGGCATAGTGGCTCATGCTTGTAATCCCAGGTACTCGGGAGGCTGAAGTGGGAGGATCACTTGAACCTGGGAGGTGGAGGTTGCAGTGAGCTGAGATCACGCCATTGTACTCCAGCCTGGATGACAGAGTGAGATTCTGTCTCGGAAAAAAAAAAAAAAAAAAGAAGGTGAATTATATGGTATAAGAATTACACACACACACACACACACACACACACACACATATATATATATATATATTTTGAGACATGGTCTTGCTATGTCACTCAGGTTCTTGGCTAATTTTTTTATTTTTTTTTAATAGAGACAGGGTCCCACTATGTTGCCCAGGCTGCCTTCCAACTCCTGGGCTCAAATGATCCTCCAACCTTGGCCTCCCAAAATGCTGGGATTACAGGCCCTGCACTTGGCTAAAGCTGCTATTTTTTAAAAAAGAAAGGAGGAGAAACAAGGGCTGAGTCCCCGTGGTTGGCCCCCACTCGCTCCCTGGCCTCAGCATGGTGGCGTCGTCTTCACTTGATGGAGAAGCGCAGCCGCGCCTGGAAGTGTTCACAGCGGGCGTGCTTCATGGTCAGCCCGTAGATGGGAGTCAGGTCGACTTTCACGCCGGGCGGCACGCTGAACTCCAGTTGCTGTAGCAGGATGGCCAGGAAGAGGAAGACCTCCCACTTGCCCAGGACCTCCCCAATGCACCGGCGCTTGCCCAGGCCAAACAGCATTATCTTCTCACTCAAGGGCTTGTTAATGGTGGTGCCTTCGGCGATGAGGAACCGCTCCGGCCGGAACTCAGATGGGTCCTCCCACAGCTCCCTGCAAGAGGGGCAAAGGAGATAGGACTTCAGGGCTGGGGAGGCCCTGGGAGGAGGGGCCTGGGGAAGGGAGACTTCTGTTGAGATCACAAGTGTGAGGACATGTTGAAAGCAATGAAGGGTAAGTGGGAAGGAACCAAACTGAACTTTGATGCTTATTTCTTTTTTCCTTTTTCTTTCTTTCTTTTTTGTTTTTAGACAAACTCTGGCTCCTATAACCCAGGCTGGAGTACAGTGGTGCCATCTTAGGTCACTGCAGTCTCTGCCTCCCCAGCTCAAGCCATCCTCCCACCTGAGCCTCCCATGTAGCTGGGACTACAGGCACCACGTCCGGCTAATTTTTGTGTTTTTTTTTTTCTTTCTTTCTTTTTTTTTTTTTTTTTGCAGAGATGGGGTTTCAGGGATCTCAGACTCATGAGCTCAAGCGATCCACCTTCCTTGGGCTCCCAAAGTGCTGGGGTTACAGGCATGAGTCACCACACCTGGCCTGATGCTTATTTCTTTTACAAAGCTCTCTCTAAAATGACCAGCCTTAAAGATAGTGCCTTTTAATATTAATTTACTTTAAATAATGCTTTATCTAAAAGGAATTTAAAGAAGAAAAACAGGCTGGTTTTGGTGGCTCACATCTGTAACCCTAGTACTTTGGGAGGCTGAGGCAGGAAGATCCCTTGAGCCCAGGAGTTCAAAACCAGCCTGGACAACATATGGAGACCTTGCCTCTATTTAAAAATTAAAGTTAAAAAAAAAAGCAAAAAAAAAAGAAAGAAAGAAAGAAAGAAAGAAAGAAAGAAAGAAAGAAAAACATATGTTTTTCTTCATCCTACTGAAAATATGCCTCCCAAGGGGCCTCAACAGTATGTCCTGGCTTATGTTTATTGTTTTGGAGTAATGATGACTAGCATAAACATTGATAGCGTTTTCACACTCAAGCGTCCCAGTGTAGATGGTAAATTATATGGTCCCCCTACCCATACACCAAAGTGGGGCTTTCCAAAGAGAGGTCTCTGGGCCATTCGCATCAGAATCGCCTGAGGCACCCCCCCTTAGACACCACAGTAGAATCCTAGGGGAACCATCAGCTGTAACAAACATCTTGGTTGATTTTTTTTTTTTTTTTTTGAAGCAGGGTCTCACTCTGTCACCCAGGCTGGAGTGCAGTGGCACGATCTCGGCTCACTGCAACCTCTGCCTCCAGAGTTCAAGCGATTCTCCTGCCTCAGTCTCTGGAGTAGCTGGGATTATAGGCACACCACCATGTCCGGCTAATCTTTTTCTTTTTTTTTTATTTTCAGTAGAGACAGGGTTTCACCATGTTGCCCAGGCTGGTCTCGAACTCCTGACCTCAAGTGATCTGCCTGCCTCGGCCTCCCAAAGTGCTGGGATTACAGGCGTGAGCCACCGCACCTGGCCATCCTGGTTGATTCCTGTGCACTAAAGTTTGTGAAACCTTTGTAAATATTGTCACTTAGAGCAGACCATATAGCAACTGAGGTTCCCTCCTTTCATTATATAAACAGTTCCTAGCGGGGACGAACAGCCTTCCTGATGCTGAACCTGCACACGTTTTTCTGTGAGGGGTGTGTACTCACGGGTCGTGGTTGACCTGCCACTGGTTTATGAAGACACAGCATTCCCTGGGGATGTAGAAGCCATTCAGTGTTGTGTCCCTTGTTGTGCTGAGGAGGGAAGAGGGCACTGTGAGACTCAGGGCTGGAAAGCTGGGGTGTGTGTTGTTCCTACCTCCACCCCATCCTGATAGCCTGCCCACTGCCATCTCCATCCCTACACTGGGAGGAGAGGGGAGGAACAGGGAAGGGGTAGAGTCATCCTCCTTCTTCCTTGCCTCCTGTTCTTTAACTTCAGCAAGTATTTACTAAACTTCTCTTTGTGTCTGGCTGTGCACTTGGCTGTTCTCTGGAGCCAAGAAACAGGCAATTTCAGATAAATGTTTTTCTATTTTCTATTAAAAAAGAAAAAAAAAGCAGCAGGCAGCCTGGGCCAGCCCTGGGGAGTTTCTAGCCTGGCTGGGGATTCAGGCCTCTTACTCTAGGAATAACTGGAACAACATTTGGGCAGAAGTAAATGCTCACTAACTCTCTTGACATTGTTAAAATTCCGGGGCATGACCAAGTGCTGATGGCTGTAAGTCCTGTAAGACATCAGGAGTGAAGCTGTGCCAGCTGGATGAGTCAAAAGGCTTCTGGGGAGAGGAAGCTCGCATCGGCATTGACTTTGAGCAAGGGTAGGATTCTGGTGGTCAGAGAAGAGACTAGAAGGCATTCCAGGCAGAAGGTTCAGCGTTACCAAAATTGGAGGCCAGTAGGGTCATGCTTGTGAGGCTGAGGCCGACCTGGCTGGCACAGAGGGCACTGGGAGGGAGGGAATATGAGCAGAAGGGAATGAGCGCTGAGATCACAAGTGGAACTTTCTCCTGAGAGCTGGGGGTTAGATTATGTTTGGACTGGATGGGGGCAGACTGAGGCTGGGATCTGTGTGGAATGAGGTTGGGAAGGAGATGCTGAGCCAGGGCCAGGGCTGAGAAGCCAGAAAGAGAAAATATGGCAAGGACTTCAGAGGTGGGAGGGCAGAACCAGCAGCCCTCACCTATGGGGGATGGTGAAGGGGACGAAGGAGGAGTGTCGGAAGGTCTCCAGGATGAAGGCCTCCAAGTAGGGCAGCTGGGGTCTGTCAGAGAGCCGGGGTCGCCGCCCCCTGCCAATCACAGCATCTGTAGAACACAGAGGACAAGCAGAACTCATGGGCTGCCCTAACTGCCCCATGAATTGTCCCCTCTTATACCCCATGTCACTCTATGTAAGATTTCTATTCACAAGTCTGCGACCCCACTAACCTCCCACATCTTCTAGGCAAGGGCAGGCACTACTGTGTTCCCAGGGCTTGCACACAGTAGGCACATAACAGGTGTTTGTAGACTGAACACACAAACTGGGTCTCAAGGCTTCTCCTGGCCATAGGGTTGGGGGCCCCCATGTACCCAGCTCCTTCTGGATCTTCCTCTGTATCTCGGGCTTGGTCACAAGGTACATGAGGCTCCAGGAGATGGCTGTTGCAATTGTGTCAAATCCTGGACCGTGTAGGGTAAGGTGAGGAAGGAAGGAAGACAGAAACAAGGAAACCATCATTTCCCAATTATCTACTATGTGTGTACCCAGCATTAACTTTCTCTCGCCCTAGCCCGTGAGTTTCCTGAGGACAGAGGCTGGGTCTTTTCAACATAAACTTGAGATACAGGTTTCAGCATTAGCTGCCAGAATTACAAGGGCCTAGACTTACAGGCCAGAGAATACTTTATTGTTCAGATGGGGAAACTGAAGCCTAGGGGAGGAGAAGGACTTTGCTGCGTCTCCACTGGGAATTGGTGGCACAGCCCAGGCTCAAACCCTGATCCTAGGGCATGTCTCAGTATGTTGTACCATCTGGTGTAGGGTTGGCGGGTTGTTTGATGGACTGAGGGACTGGGCAAGACTGTGGGTGAACAGCAGACATTGTTGGATGGAGGGGCAGGGTTCTGGCTCCTACCTGCTCCGAAGATGTCATTGACAAGGTTGACAGTCTTCTCCTGGGGGATGAGGTTGCCGCTGGCTCTAGGCCCCTTCTTGCTGTGCTTGAACAGGGCACCCATGATATCCTGGACACTGTTCTGAGGGAGCACAAGCTTAGAGGTACCCCTGGCACTTCCAAGGTCAAAGGCTGAACCTTGCTCCACACCCCTCGCCTGTCCCTGGGGGCTACTCTTCCCACTTGGTCTCTAGGCAGGGGGCTGCAACTCGCAGCAGGAGCTGGTAGCAGCCCTGGGTATGACGTAAAGTGTCATTTTATGCCCCATTGACCCTTCTTCCCAATAACCCCAGGGGTCCAATTTCAAAGGAGGAAAAGGTTAGTGTGAACACAGGGAAGCAACGTGGCACCAGAACTGGGGATTAGCCTCTGTTGGGATTCAGGTTTCTGCAGAATGAAAGCTTTCTCACTCATCGGCCCCCCACATTGCAGGGCTCTGCTAGGGCCCCATTTCCAGGACTTTTTTCTTGGGGGCTTTGAGGAGCCCTGAGAAGGGGGCTTCAAGGATGAGGAAACTGAGGCCCAGAGAAGGGAAAGAGTTGGCTCCAGGTCACACAGCTGGTCTGAGGTATCCAGAGCCTTCCTAGGCCTTGGCAACACAGCAGCTGTGTGAGCATGCTAGAGCTGGGAGGGAGGGGCTATACCCAGGCCCTGCAAGGTGCCCCTCGCCACCTGCACCCCGGGCTCACCTTGTCAAAGTCCTGATAGTGTTCCTGGACTGTTTTCTGCAGGAACCACCAGAACCTCTGGTTGAAGGCCTTGAACCTCTGCAGGGCAGGGTTGGGCAGGTAGCGAAGGATAGGGAAGAAGTCCACGGGGTTCCCGGAGGAGGCACTCTCCACGAACTCATGACTGTTCTTCACGAGGCTGAGCATCTCATCACTGCTCTTGGGGAAGTGCTGTCCGAAGCACATGGCATCGATGACATTGGCCACTGACACCACCACTTGATTGTAAGGGTCGAAGTGCCCAGGCCCTGCCATCAGCTCCTACAACCTGCTGATCAGGGCCTCAGCCTCCTTGCTCACATGCTCCTCCAGGTAGCAGGAGGATGAGGAGGCTGGGTCAGAGGCGATGGAGAAGGTGTTGAGGGCGTTCTGGACCAGGCGCCGGCGGGCAGCCCACACCGGTCCAGAGTCTGGGCTGAAGGACATGCTCTGGCCATCAGTGATGAAGGTGAAGCTGTAGAGGTCAGGCCGGCCCTTGAAATCGTCGCCCTGCCGCACCAGGGCCTGCCGGATGGTATCCAGGCTGCTCAGCACCAGCACGGGTGTGGAGCCAATGCGAATCTGCAGCACGTCTCCGTAGAGCTGGCTCATCCTTGACAGTGCCAGGTGCGGGTTCTTCCCCAGGGTCAGCACATGCCGGAGCAGGGGCCAACCCCATGGCTCTGGTGGACTTTTCAGGCCTTTGGGGACCCGAGGCCTCGAACCCCTGAGCACCCAGAATACCAGGCAGAAGATGGCAGAGGCCAGGAGAAACTCTGTGGCCGAGAAGGGAACAGACTGGGACAATGCCATCTGTACCAACTACAGGGAAAAAGGAAGGAGGGACCAGGCTGAGGGTTGAGATGGAGACATTCATTCATTCATTTCCTCAGTCATTTGATAAACACTGATGTGTGTTCTGTGCTTGGCTCCCAACTGGATACCAGAAAGACTAAGATTCATCTACCATGTGTCCTGTGCCCCCAGAGCTCACCCTTTGAGCATCACAGAATCTGACAACTGGCAAGAAGCCTCAAGATTCCCAGCCTGAACCCTGGCTCTCTCCTCCACCCATCCTCTCTGTTAGTTTCTGCTTCTGGAGCTGGAGTAGAGGCAAGTGACCACCCCAAAACGGGGAAGCCAAGGACAGCACCCTTGTCAGCCCCTGGCACAGCATGCATGCTGGGCATTGTGCCAAAGGGTCCCTGCCAGTGCTGGCTTTCTGCTGATACCTTCTACACACCCAGGGGACCGGGAGCTCCCCCTACCCAGTGACACTGAGGAAGCCAAGGTCCCAGGGCTGATTAAAATAGCCTGTGATGCCCCCTTCCCAGGGCACTCTTTTTCAATACCAGGAAGGGCATCTCCTCCAGGGATGAGTCCCCATCCTCTCACAGTCTTGGAGGTTGAGGTTGGGCTGCAGCCAGGGCCAGGGCTGCCCTTGTGCTAAGGGGGAAGCCCTCCCCATCTCTCTCCTTAAAAATGGCTTAGTCCAAACTGCTCATTTAAAATGGGGAAACACAAGTCAAGAGCTGAGTAGCAAAACCTGGAACCCAGGCCCCCTACACCTAGCCCAGGCTCCCCATCTTTCTGTCTCCACTAGCTTCCAAGTTCTATAATTGGGGATCCCAGAGATTGGAAACTGGTCCCAAGAAAGGTACTTGTAGAGGCAAGTGCTTGAGATTAGCAGAGTTGTAGTGGCTGGTCTGGAGCTTGTGGCTCTAGGTGAGTGGCCTTTTTATAAACACCATCCCCTATCGGATTGGCCTGGTTGTCCTGGTCGCCTAACATCAAAGCTGGATCACTGAACAAAGTTGGAAGTATCAACCCTTGATCTTGGGCCATGATCCCTCAGCTCCACCTACTACCCAAGGCCCACGGTGACTCTTTGGGGATAGGCCAGAAGGGGTGCTGGGTCCCTGGGGATGAAGGTACAGCTTTCTTCAGGGTTCAGGGTAGGGAGCCTATTTCTCTGAAGAGTAGGGTAGGGTCTGGGAGTGGGGGTTAGGCCTTTGGACTGATCTGGGCTTCTTTCCCATGCACACATGAGGAAGAGCTCTGCCAGGGCACTCAGTCTAGACCAACCAGGCTCACGGCCCCTCTCCAGAAGGATGTTCTTCTGTATATCCTCCAACAACCTGCAAAACCAGACAGTAAATGGGCATGTTCCAGCCACTCCTGATTTTCAGCCCAAGTCCCCAAGTGGCAAGGAAGAGATGATAAGGATTTTGCATACTAAAGAGAGGCCTCCCTCATGCAAAAAGACTAAGAGACATAACCAAATGCAATATGTGAACCTCGATTGGATGTGTCATTTAACCAAAAAAAATTTTTAAAATTTACAAAAGGCGTTTTGGGGACAATTGGGGACATGTGAGCATGGACTGGAGATTAGATGATATTCTGGAATAAATGTTAATTTTTTTAGGTGTGAACAGAGTGTCATGGTATGTGGGAGTGTATCCTTATTCTTAGGAGATTGATGCTGCAGTGTGGAAGTGTCAAGATCCCTGCAACCTCCTTTTGAATGATTCTGTTAAAAAAGGTACACCTTTAGGCCAGGCGCGGTGGCTCACATCTGTAATCCCAGCACTTTGAGAGGCCGAGGTGGGCGGATCACCTGAGGTCAGGTGTTTGAGATCAGCCTGGCCAACCTGGTGAAACCCCATCTCCACTAAAAATACAAAAATTAGCCGGGCGTGGTGGCGCATGCCTGTAATCCCAGTTACTCGGGAGGCTGAGGCAGGAATATTGCTTGAACCCAGGAGGTGGAGGCTGCAGTGAGCTGAGATCGTGCCACTGCACTCTAGCCTGGGCGACCGAGCGAGACTCAGTCTCAAAAAAAAAAAAAAGTACACCTTTAAAAAGTATAATTGGATTGTTTGTAATTCAAAGGTTTACCCTTGCTTGAGGGGATGGATACCCCATTCTCTATGATGTGCTTATTTCACATTGCATGCCTGGATCAAAACATTTCGTGTACCCCATAAATATATACACCTACTATGTACCCATAAAATTTTAAAAAGTATACTTATCAATCAATAAATCAAGAGAAAGTAGATATGAGAAATGTCAGCTATTCATGGACTTACGTGCGGATATATGGTGTTTGTTATACTAAAGGAGTCTTTAATATGGACCCAGATCTCAGTCAGGTCTAAGAGGAGGATGAGGGCAAGCCTTAAATTGGATGTGAAAAGGAAGTTTTCTATCTTTTTTTTTTTGAAGATACAGAGTCTTGCTCTGTCACCCAGGCTGGGGTTCTGTGCCACAGTCATGGCTCACTGCAGCCTAGACCTCCTGAGCTCAAACAATCGTCTTGCCTCAGCCTTCTGAGTATCTGGGACCACAATCACAGGTGTGTGCACCATGCCTGGCTAATTTTTTAGTTTTAAACATTTTTTTGTAGAGAGGAGGTCTCACCATGTTGCCCAGGTTGGTCTTGAACTTCTGGGCCCAAGCAATCCTTCTGCCTTGGCCTCCCAAAGTGCTGGTATTACACGTGTGAGCCACCGTGCCCAGCATGGATGTGAGAGGGAAGTTTTGATTTAGATGTGAGTGGGCTTTTATTCCTGAAAATGAGAAAACTGTGGGATCAACCTGTGAAGATGCCAAGGCGCATGGTTGGGGAATCCAATAGAGGAACAGAGCATTTTGAAAGACCGTGAATGGGAGAAGAAGAAGGTTGTTTCCTGTCTATCTCCATTGGGTTCGGATGGCTCAATGAAAAAGGTTAGGGTTTGAGGTTAGGCTCAGTTGTATAGAAAACGGACTTTTTCTTTCTCTCTGTCTGTCTCTCTAATTAACTAAAGTCCATGGTTTACTTAGATTCCCTTGGGTTTTACCTAATGTCCTTTTCCTGTTCCAGGACCCATTGGATATCACATGACATTTAGTCATCATGTCTCTTTGGACTCCTCTTGGCTGTGACAGTTTCTCAGGATATCCTTGTTTTTGATGACCTTGATAATTTTCAGGAGTACTGGTTGGATATTTTGTAGGATGCCCACTATTGGAATGTGCCTGATGTTTTTCTCATGGTAAGCCTGGGGTTATGGTTTGTTAGTAGGAAGACCTTGGAGGTAAGGTGCCATTCTTGTCACATCATATCAAGGTTACATCCTATCAGTATGACTTACAGGTGTTGATGTTGACCTTGATCACCTGGCTGAGGTAGTGCATGTCAGATCTCTTCACTGTAAAGTTACTCCTTTCCTCCCTTTCCATGCTGTACCCTTTGGAAGGAAGTCACTATGCACAGCCCACACCGAATGAGTGGGGGGTTATGCTCCTTATCCTTAAGGAGGGATTATCTCCATAAACTATTTGAAATTCTCCTGTGTGAGAGACTATTTATCTTTTTATTTTTAATGTTTTCTTAAGACTTAAAAAAAATAAATTACAGGGTACAATATAGAAAAGTGCATATGTCAGCTGGGCCCGGTGACTCACGCCTGTAATTCCAGCACTTTGAGAGGCCGAGGTGGGAGGATCACTTGAGTGAGGCCAGGAGTTCAAGACCAGCCTGGCCAACATAGTGAAACCTCATCTCTACTAAAAATACAAAAAAAATTAGCTGGGCGTGGTGGTGCACACCTGTAATTCCAGCTACTCAGGAAGCTGAGGCATGACAATTGCTTGAATCCGGGAGGCAGAGGTTGCAGTGAGCCAAGATCGCACGACTGCACTCTAGCCTGGGTGACAGAGTGAGATTCTGTCTCAAAAATACCTAAATAAATAGAAAAATGCATATGTCATATATAGCTTGATCATGTGTAGCTTGATGAATTTTTGCAAACGTAACAAACACACATATAACCAGCTCTAATAAAGAGACATCATGAGCACCCAAGAAGTCCCATTGTGTTCCTTTCTCAAGGGTACCCATGACCCCAACGTCTATTGCATGAATTTGTTTTGCTTGTTGTTGCATTTTATGTAAATGAGATCATGTCATAGGTACACTTTTTGGAGGGGAGCCAAGGAATTTTAAAAAACTAATAGATTTTTTTAGAGCAGTCTTTGGTTTACAGAAAAACTGAGTGGAAAGTATGATGAGGGAGGTAAAAGCGCCCATTTGCCACACCCACTCTGCAGTTTCCCCTATTATTAACATGTTGCAGTAGTGTAATATATTTGTTACAATTGATGGGTGAATATTGATACATTCTTGTTGTTTTGAGACAGAGTCTCAGACCTGTTGCGATGGCTCACACCTGTAATCTCAGCACTTTGGAAGGCTGAGGCGGACAGATCACTTGAGGTCAGGAGTTCTAGATCAGCCTGGCCAACATGATGAAACCCCATCTCTACTAAAAATACAAAAAATAAGCCGACAGGCGCATGCCTGTAGTCCCAGCTACTCGGGAGGCTGAGGCAGGAGAATCATTTGAACCCCGGAGGCGGAGATTGCAGTGAGCCAAGATTGCACCACTGTACTCCAGCCTGCGCCACAGAGCAAGATTCGTCTCAAAAAAATAATAATAATAAAATAAAATAAAGAGAGACAAAGTCTTGTTCGGTTGCCGAGGCTGAAGTGCAGTGGCACAATCTCAGCTCACTGCAACCTCTTCCTCCCAGATTCAAGCGATTCTGGTGCCTCAGCCTCCCGAGTAGCTGACATTACAGGCACACACCATCATGCTTGGCTAATTTTTGTATTTTTAGTACAGACGGGGTTTCATCATGTTGGCCAGGTTGGTCTCAAACTCCTGACCTCAGGTGATCTGCCCACCTCGGCCCCCCAAAGTGTTGAGATTACAAGTGTGAGCCACCACGCCCAGCCTTTGATACATTATTATTAACTGAAGACCATAGTTTAAATTAAGATGCACTTTGTGTTGTACAGTTCTGTGGTCCCCCACCTACACTTTTTTTGTTGTGGTGAAATAATATACATAACATACCGTTTAACACTGTAGGCCAGGCATGGTGGCTCACACCTGTAATCCTAGCACTTGGGAGGCTGAGGTGGGAGGATTGCTTGAACCCAGGAGTTCAAGACCAGCCTGGGCAACATAGTGAGACCCCATCTCTATTAGACATTTTTTTAAATTTACCATTTTAACCATTTTAAGTATACTTTTCAGTGGGCAGTGTATACTCTTGTGTCTGGTTTCTGGTTTCTGTTACTTATTCTTTTTTTATGAGACTTATTCATGATGTTAGGCATAGTTATAGTTCATTCTCATTGCTGCATGGTATTCCATTATAACATGAGTACTCAACACCTTATTCATTCATTCAATTGTTGATTGATACTTTGGTTGCTTCCTCTGTTGGGCTAAGATGAGCCCCGCTGTCAGGAGCATCTTTTTTTTTTTTTTTTTTGAGACAGAGTTTAGCTCTTGTTGCCCAGGCTGGAGTGCAATGGCGTGATCTCAGCTCACAACCTCTGCCTTCCGGATTCAAGCGATTGTCTTGCCTAAGCCTCCCAAGTAGCTGAGATTACAGGCTACCATGCTCAGCTAATTTTGTATTTTTAGTAGAGATGGGGTTTCTCCATGTTGGTCAGGCTAGTCTCAAACTCCCGACTCAGGTGATCTGCCATCCTCGGCCTCCCAAAATGTTGGGATTACCAGTGTGAGCCACCGCACAGGTCCAGGAGCATTCTTGAACATCCTTTTGAATGCATGTTTGCTGCTCAGGCTGGAATTGCTAGTTCATAGGATAAGTGACTGTTCAACAATAGTGGATTCTACCAAACAACTTTCCTGGCTGGGCGCAGTGGCTCACACCTG